CGCAGTAGAGCGTTTCAGCGTTCCCATTGCACATGTTATTTCCTCTAAGGTACATGGGGCATTAAGAGAGGCAATCTGAGAAGGTGTGAGAGCAGGAAGGGGTATAGAATCTAGCCATGAATCTGATAGAGAAACAGAATCCGACTGTGGAGAAGCCAGTAGTTTAGAATAAAAATTTTCAAAAATACCCAAAACTTCCTGAGGTAAAGATGAGATAGCACCTGAATTAGTACGCAATTTATACACATGTGGGGGGCGCAAAGAATGGTTCAATTTCCTTGCAAACATGGTAGATGCTGAGTTGCTATGTAATAGGAACGAGGCCTTCGACCAGCGGAGGGCCTTTTCAGTTTTTTGGGAAAGTAGGGCATTCAGTTCCAAGCGCTTTTGGGACAATAGCTGTTTATTGAGTAAAGATGGATCAGCTACATGGCTTCTATAGTGTGCTTCTAATTCTCGGGTTAAAAGTAGTATCTGCTGCCAACGTTTTTTATTTCTGGCCGAAGCCATAGAGATAAGTCGGCCCCGTAGGACCGCCTTGTGGGCTACCCAGAGTGTGGCTGGGGAAATATCAGGGGTTGAATTAGATTGAAAGTATTCCTTAAGAGATGTAACACCTCCTGCCGAGAGTCAGTATCAGTTAGCATAGAATCATTAAGTCTCCATGAAAAGGGAGTAGGTGCCAATCCCACAAACGTGATAGATAAGGCCATAATACTGTGATCCGACCAGGGGCTCAAATGAATACTAGCTATCCTAGAATTAGCTAGCAATATAGGGGTACAAAAGATATAGTCTAGTCTAGCATAAGAGTCATGTGGGTGGGAATAAAATGTGTAATCCCTGGCTCCCGTGTTGTGCGCTCTCCAAGCATCCACCAACTGGAGGGCATCTAGTTTCTTAGTAAGGGATTTTGGGAAAGCTTGGGAAGTGTGCGAGGCGGAACTACGGTCCAGAAGAGGATTTGCCACCAGATTAAAATCCCCACCCACCAATAGATGGGGGGACAAAAATTTATCCAGTGCACCAAAAAATTTAAAAAAAAAGTAGCCTGTGCCGAATTTGGTGCATAGACATTAGCAATTGTAAGTTCTCGACCTGAAAGGGTGCCCTTAAGAATAATAAACCTACTGTCTGGATCACGATACACATGTTGAACCTCAAAGGGAAATGAGTTATGTAGAAAAATGGCCACTCCCCTACTCTTGGAGGAATGTAGGGTATAATACCCCTGCCTATAGGATCTATGAAAAAAGGTCGGGTGTTTTGCGGCTGCAAAATGCGTTTCCTGTAATAAGATGATTTTTGCTCCTAATCTTTTATATTGAAGAAAGGCTGTTTTTGCGCTTATTTGGCGAATTGAAACCCTGGACATTATGCGAAATACATTGAATTGCCATAATAAACAGAGCTTGCCACTATCATCATAAAAGTACACATTACAAAGATATCCCCTAAAGTTATTTGATTAGACATAGAAACCCGCAGGTCTGCATCAGACAGACATACAGGTGGCAGATCCAGCCTAGGGGACCTCCAGACCCCAACATAGGGGTCGTGATGTCCACAGACCGACACAATACCATCCTCATACACTAAAGTTTTGAGAGAAGAGAAAACGAAAAACAATGGAGAAAAAGCTTTAATATCTTCTATATTTGAAAGGGTAACTGAAGAACATGGATCAGGCAGAAAAGTCGTCATACCTGATAAAACAAAAAGGTCAAACATTAAGGGGCCACATGGGCCCAAACCCTGTCTCCTTAGAACATGGAAAACAGAGCTGCCACCCCGCAATCGGGCGGCGACACCTCCGGCCATGTCAGGAGGCAGGGTGGGGTAACGTGTCAAAGAGTAGTACAACCATGAATTAATGGGCGCAATTAGGAGGGTCCAATGACCCTTGTCATACCTTAACTCGTCCAGTTATCAATGCAAGGCATACAAAATATTCAGTATTGCAAAAATATCACAGCAGCAACCACAGAAATATACAACCTGACAATGTAAGAAATAGAGAGAGAGCAAAATCCCTGTGTCCCAAATCTTAGTAAAGTCATAAAAAACAATAGACCAGACCAAAGACTATCAAGACAATGAGTATTAGGCAAATGAGAATGGGCCTGTCAACCCGGTTCTTGTCTGACTCTCCTTCTATCCCTCCGTGGGGAAGGGGTATGCCAAATGGGAGAGATACGAGGGGTGGAGGGTGGGCGTTGAGGTGATGGGGCATCCGCCAAGCCTAATTTGGCCAAGATTGCTCTACCTTCGGGAGGGGATGTAGCGATATATGTGCTCCCATTGTGTGGAACTATCAGCTTAAAAGGGAAGCCCCCCACTTGTAGCGGATACGAGCAGAGAACAGGGCAGTTGTAACTTCTTTCATTTTTCTACGCCTCTCCAACGTGGCCGGGGAAACATCAGGATAGATTTGTAAAACCGAGCCCTCAAAGGAGATCGTTGGAGTATTGCGAGCAGCTCTGAGTATTTCTTCCTTGGTCAGAAAATCCTTCATGCACAAGACAATATCCCTAGGCGGCTTGTCAGCAGGAGGTTTAGGGCGTAGGGCTCTGTGGATACGGTCACAAGCAAAAGATCCAGGGTCACGATCTGGAAGGAGTGACTTGAATAACTTGATTATAATTAATGAAAGATCCGACATAGACTCCGGGATTCCCCTGATTCGCAGATTATTCCTGCGATTGCGATTATCAAGATCCTCAACCTGCGCCTGCAGTTGTGAAAAGGCCGTTTGTAAATGATCATGCTCTCTGGAAAGTTCACCATAGGCCAGGCTAAGTTCATCGTGTTTGGTTTCCAAGCGGTCTGTCCTAGAGCCCAGCGTGGCTATTTCCTGAGAGAGAACATTAGTGCTTTTATGCAATTCTGATTGAAATTTGGCGGCTAGTTTGGCGTACATAGATTCCAAGCAGGACTCCAAGTCCCCTTTTGTGAGTTGCTGTGTATTTTCGCTGACCAAGGCCGATAAGGGAACGGTGGTATCCCGTGCGGGATCGGACAGGGATGCTTGCTCTGCATTGACTGGAGACATGCTGCAAATCTCGTGAGCCTTAAGGAGGTATGTCGTGAGGGACTTCTGAGCTTGTCCCTTTTTTTTCTTGGTGGACGGCATACAAAAGAATCTCCCGGGGGTGATCAACTGAAAATTGGAAAGTGAATGGAGATTATAACCCCAGGGGACCTATAGCGCCCAAAATAGGTTCAGGGTTGTAGTTACATGGATGCTGTCAAACCCATCTGCAATAACATTATATTGTAAAAATATTCAGCAAGCCTTGAAAGGGTAGATAGAACATAAGTCACAGCAACCAGCAAAAATTTCACTCCGGGGCAGGATGATAGCACCAGATCCCAGCTCAGGACACAAGAGGGATGGGTGGGAAGCAGGAAGCAGAGGACCTCCGATTCTGAGCTCAGGGCCCCGCAGGGAGACACCCCCCGGGGCAGTATCAAGGCCCCAGTAGGCCTCTGAGCCCAGCAAGGGCCACAGACAGAGAAGAGATGGGCTCTGGGGTTATTAATGTGAGGCCCACTCCCCAAATCACTGTGGGGAGATCATAATGACAGGATGCCGCCTGTACCCCCCACTCACTGTGTCCAGGTGAAAAAGGAGGCCTCTGGCAGATGGCGTAGGCCGCAAACGTCGCCGCCGCCGCGGGGGAGCAGCAACACTCAGCGACGTCCCTCTCTCAGCCTCTGTGAAGCAGAGGACGCTGCAGACGTCCTCGGGTGATCCCCCACAGCCCGGATGGCAGCGGATGCGGATAGGAGGTGCCGGAGCCCCGGCCCACGCGGCCGCACCAGGCCGCGAACGAACGTCCGCCGCCACGAAGGGCGGAAATATCGCCCGGATTCTACCTCCCAGGTATCCGGGATGATACCAGGGCCCTCCGCTGCTCCACTGTGATCCGCTGCTGCACGGATGGCAGCGGATTCCGGAATACGGCGCCGGAGCTCCGGATTATGCGGCCGCTCGTCATTTACTTGTATAGGAGGGTGTACGTGACACCTGTGGCTCCCCAGGAAACACCCAGAATTTTATGCTGGGCATGTTGTCAGCCCCTCACCATCTCTGTGCATGTGGTCTTAAGCTAAAATACAGGAAAAACAAAAAAAAGTGCCTTACAGTGTCGCACCTCCAACACTACACTTGTTGGGGGAGAATGAATGAGGTTTTTAACTGCACATTGAATCCTCTTTCCCTGGGATATAAGGAGGTAAAGGTACAAATTAGGTGAGTTTAGCAACTTTACTAATATCCTGCTTTTCCTTCACATAACATTGCCTTTGTTACAAGGCTTGTGTGGAGCAGAGCATTCTTGCAATCTGTAGAGGCACTGAGGTATAACAACCTGCAGGAGAGACACTAAAGATTCCACCAATATACGAGTCGTCTGAATTAAAACTTGCAAACTGTTCTGTGAAATTGTTATTGCATTTACATAATCCTTACTGGAGTTTGTTTAATGCCTAACTACTCAATAGAGCTCTGCAATAACACACTACATGATGGTAATATAGCTGCTTCCTTATAATGTTTCTCACAGCCACATGCAGGACACATTCTGCTATCAAGATTGCACTTATGGAGACTGAGCTTTGGAAATTTCAAAGCTCAGTTTTTCTTCAATGATGCTTGGAACCTTTACAATATCAGAATGCAGAGTGGTAAAGAGTTCTCAACAAATAATGGAAAATACTCTATATTGCCAAAAGTATTGGGACACCCCTCCAAATCATTGGAATCAGGTGTTCCCAGGGGCGGACCATTTGGAAACTCAGGCAGTGCCCGAGGGCCCGGGGTCAGTAGGGGACCCCATGAGATGCCCCTGGTACCTTTTCTAAGGCTTTTTTGAGTTTGGGCAAGGACACAGGGGCCCCATGATCCACTCTTGCCTGGGGGCCTCATAAGTTGTCAGTCCACCCCTGGGTGTTCCAATCACCTCCATGGCTACAAATACCTAGACATGCAGACTGCTGGTCAGTGAATTCAAGCGTGGTACCATGATAGGTTGCCACCTGTGCAATAAGTCCATCCATGAAATTTCCTTGCTACTAAATATTCCAAGGTCAACTGTTAGTGGTATTCTAACAAAATGGAAGCAATTGGGAACAACAGCAACTCAGCCACGAAGAGGTAGGCCACATAAAATGAAAGAGCAGGGTAAGCGCATGCTGAAGTGCGCAGAGGTCACCAACTGTCTGCAGAGTCAATAGCTAAAGACCTCCAAACTTCATGTGGCCTTCAGATTAGCACAACAACAGTGTGTAGAGAGCTTCATGGAATGGGTTTCCATGGCCAATCAGCTGCATCTAAACCTTACATCACCAAATGCAATGCAAATGGTTGGATACAGTGGTGTAAAGCACGCCGCCACTGGAATCTACAGCAGTGAAAACATGTTCTCTGAAGTAATGAATCACACTTCTCTGTCTGGCAATCTGATGGATGTGTCTGGGTTTGGCAGTTGCCAGGAGAACGGTACTTGCCTGACTGCATTGTACCAAGGGTAAAGCTTGGTGGAGGAGGGATTATGGTGTTGGGTTGTTTTTCAGGGGTTGGGCTTGGCCCCTTAGTTCCAGTGAAGGGAACTCCTTTAACGCATCAGCAAAACTGGGATGCCATTAAAGTTCATCTGCGTGTAAAGGCAGGCGTCCTAATACTTTTGCGTTGTCATGCCCTAAAAATGCCATGCAAATTCATGTCTACTTGTATGTAAGTAGACATGAATTTGCTGCAATGAACAATAGTGGTAAGTATTCAGTGCACAAAAAGAAAACCCTGTAAACCACAAGGAGCAGTCCATATTTAAAGTCCATAATCCATAATATGGATTATCCATAAGGATAAGTAAGAGTCAATAAATAAAAAGTGTCTGAGTTAGAATATAGGTATCAATTAGCCAGCAATGTAGAGCAGTCGGTTCCAACGAGCTAGAAGGAACTCCGTAGGAAATGGAGACACAAGGAAACAGAGCATATAAGTCTGGGTCTCCAACTTTCCACATGTGCCATTGAGGCAGACAATACTGTAGATGCTTCTTTTTTAGTCAAGATCTCCCTACCTGCCCCCAAAAGAAAATGAGAAATCGTGGCAGGAGAGGGGGAACCCGAAGATATTAAAAAGGAAAAGAAAAAAAAGGAATGGAAAATTGCTCAAACTATAAAAATGTTTAATCTCTCCAGCCATGTACTGTTTAATTTCAATATGTCCCTACTGAGTCGAGGACTCAGTTCCGCCCCAACCACCCAGCCTAACCCCTTTATTTGTTAATCTAAACAGATTAATCAGAAATTAAACAGTTAAACGTTATTATAATATACAAGCCTCCAAAACAAACCAAACTTGTGATGACATCCTAGACTATCCCCATTATGATCTCCGCATCCTCAACTGGGCGTATCTGGGTGCTGCGACCTCGTTCCATTTTGCTGCAAGTACATCCATAGCATCAGGGGCTCTGGTGAAGACACAGGTTGGGGCTTAGACTCTGTGCCCTGGAGAACTACAAGGGCTCACTACCACAGACGCTTGATAGTAGTCTACTCTGACGTTCTATGCATGTGTGGACATACCACCAAATCTACCAATGTGCATTCCAATCTTTCCCCATTGGAATCTGATTCCCTCTGTCAACTGTCCCAAAACATCAGTCTAATCATCAAACCAGCAGACAAAGATGGTGCCATAGTAGTGCAAGACAAAAGTGACTATTTCCGCGACTCTATGCGTCTATTATCAGATGCAAGTACATACAAAAAGCTTAAATGTGACCCCCTCCCACAATTTAAAATAAAAGCCCATACCCTTATCAATAGAGCATCCAGTGAAGGCATTATTAGTTCTATGGAAATAGCCTTCCTCAAAAGAGAACTATATAAAAGGCAGTACTTTTATCATTTACCTAAAATACACAAGGATCCTGTGAATTCCTCAGGATGCCCAATAGTTGCGGCAATGGAAAGTGTCACCAGCTATTTTTCTATATACATTGACCCCTTCCTGGAACCTCTGGACCAAAATTTGCCTTCATATAGTGTACCCATGACAGTATCCACCTTTTGTAGATGTTAAAGAACTACACATGGGAATCCACGTACTTGTGGCACTCATTAGATGTAAGCTCCCCCTATACGCCAATAGCTCATGAACTTGGATTGAGAGCAGTGACACACTTCTTGGCTGAGGACCTATTAGTGAATCCTCAACAAGGTACTTTCATCATTGAAGCTACCAAATATTGTCTGACCCACAATTACTTTGAATTAGATGGAGATTTCTATCTACAGACCTGAGGTATGGCAATTGGCGCTAGTTTTGTACCGAGCCATGCCAACCTAATGATGGGCTTATTGGAGGAGGAGACAACTATTTGGCAAAATAACCTGTTTGCAGCCCACATAATTTATTATGGGAGGTACATAGATGACATATGGGTGGCCCTTGATACCGCAGTCAATGACTTTGTGGAATACTGTAATTCTTATTATATGGAACTTTCCTTCACCTCAGTATGTGACCCAGATATTTATGCCCACAATTACACAAAATCTACAGAGGGCAGCTCATAGCTCCACCACCAGAGTTGCCATCACCCACGTTGGGTACAAAATATATCAAAAGGCCAATTTTGCCATCTAAAACACAATTGCACACGCCAACAGGATTACATCTCTCATAGCCAAAACTTAAAACAAAAATTCCTTGATAAAGGGTATCTGGAAATGTTAGTAGAGACAGCCTATCAACACTATCTTGAGTCTACAGAGAATACTGACACTATACCAATCAATAATGGGGACCCACAACCAATTAGATTTACAATTCAATTCCATACTCAATTTAGACAAATGGAGCGTATAATACAAAAACACTAGCCTATTCTTCTTGAGAACCCCCACCTCAATAATTCTCTATTAAACCGAAGGTCTCATACAGACGAACATGAAATTGCAGAATTGTAGATACAAAAATAAAAGCCACCTTAGCAACCGTACTCCCACTCCCACTTTCCTTGCCCTTAAAGGCATGTACCAGTGCAAGTTGAAGTGCCTCCCTTGTAGCCATATCCAACATGGACAGAAGGACTTCACCTACAGAGGTACCACTTATGTGATACCCGATTTCTTCAACTGTTCCACCAAACTTGTGTACTGACTATCCTGTCCTTGTGGTAAGCTATATGTAGCCCTTACAACAAGCACCCTGGAAAAGAGATTTGGGGAACATTGGAGGTTCATTGAAGAGGGTTCTGACATACACAGTATCCCCAGACACTTTACAGAATATCATGGAAAATTTCAAAGTCCATACTGTTCTATAGTTCAGCCTCAGACACAGTACCCGTTATCCTATTCCTAGCTTTAACATAAGCTCATTATTGAGGGGAAGGTATCACCATCCCTCATATACCCCTCCACATATAGGAATTGAAGATTTAGTCCTTGTACTTTATCACATAATCGCCTTAATAGGACACTGTTAGTATATATATGTACTTAAGGTTAACATTCTAACATAATTCCAGACCAGCCTATATGGTTACATGATTATTATTATTTAATCCGCTATTTTCTTTTCTGCTTGCCATTTTTTCCTTTCTTCTTTCTGGATAACACGTGCAGTATTTAGTGTTTAACTATTGAATTGTTCACTCCCACACAGGACCCTTAGGTCTTACCATTATGACCCATATTGAATTTGCCAACTAATTTTAAATAATTCAGTTCATCACTAATTAATTACACTGTTCAACAAATTTTTATTTTTTGCCAGTTTTGGAAATAAAAGGATCCATTTCTTAATGAATTTCACATTCTGAGTTCAAATATAACATTGAAATTTGTCAATTGGCTCTAGTTTTTCTGTAAACTGAAAGTTTTCTACTATAGGCGTAATGACTACATAATGCACAATAATTATATAGATAGATGTCTTTCCACAAATATAAAGCAAGTGATATTGACTACATAACAAAGCCTAAATGGCATAATATATTGCATAGGATTACCAAGAAAAATTATAGCCATAAGCTAAGTTGAATCATTTTAATACTTAGGATTCTCACTAGTTTTGTCTTCAGTTTGTGTCGGTTTTGCTTCTCTTGGCTTTTCTCTTGTATTCGAGGAAAGGGCTATCTCTTACAACTGCACGTGACTACACGCTTCAGGTTCTTCCTCACTTGACTCAACCACGAAGGATTCTGGTGCTTTAGGAATTGGTAGCCCCTCTCCATGAGGAACAGGACGTATTGCCGATGGAATATTTGGATAGTGCACAGATAACTTTTTCTTCTTATTTAGCCCTTTTACAATTGGAGGCACTATACAAAAGTAACAATTACTAACATGATCTGTTGGCTCTCTCCAAATCATTGGCACAGCGAAAGGCATAGATGCCTTTTTTCCATTCAACCATTGCTCCAGTGCCGTCCCACAAGAATTGCAGCATATATGTGGTGCCCAGCTCTTGTCCTGGTCTCCTATCTTGCAGCCAAAATACAAGTTGTAGGCTTTCTTAATCATTCCTGTTATCCTCCTTTTTTGTGAGATAAAAGTTATTTCACCGCAGATATAGCAGAAATTATCTGCTTTATTCACACAAGTTCGAGGCATTACTGAGTAGCCTATATAAGCAGAAAACGAAATGTAAAGACGAACTACAATCAGCTACAGATACTGCAGCTTTTATGCAGTGAAGTGATGCAATTAAAGGCTAATATTGCATCATCTCAGTATACATGCAATTTTCTATTGGTCACCAGTATCAATTGCGCAATATGCAGCTGAAGTTGCATCATAATTTTGAATGGCTTACGTCATTAGATGGGTGAATATATCATGGAAACTAGAGCCAATCAACATTTTTTAGGGTCATTTTCGTTTTCAGCACCCCAAAATTATGTAAGATTAGCTAATTTTATGCCCAAAACTTTTTACCTGTTGAACAGTGTTATTGCTAGTTGTAACATATGATGCCTTTTTAAAATTTTTTATGTGTTTTCATATTTCTTATAATGTCTCATCGGTATTTTATTTGCCTTTTATATTAACTTTTTATATTATTTTTTAAAAATATTTTGATCATCCCTGTACAGGTTAGAGCATTATGATGTAAGTTAGGGTGCCTTCTTATTGTCTGTGTCCTGAGGGCATTTTCCTTGCAGCTTCTGGGCATAAATACCACAGTAAAGATGGCTCCCCTTATGACCTGAAGAAGGAGCATGCATGCTCCAAATGCATGCTGCCCCTTCTACTTGCTAACCCAGAAGTGATGTCATCG